GTCTGTTTTTCTGGGCCGTTTTGTTTTGTTACACCGACATCTCGCAAGTCACCTAGGGACCTAGGAGGTTGTCGGTTGCTTATTTTTTATTTTTCTTTAAAATTTTCGTCGGTAAAATAATATATTTATAAAAGTAAAAAAAAAAGGTAAAGTTACAGCCTATATACGTCCCACTCCTGGGCACAGGCCTCCTCTAATTTCTGAGAGGGTTTTAAGGCAAGGAAATGTCCGCCACGCTGCCTCAATGCGTGTTGACGAATTTCACATGTCTTCGAAATATATATTTTTTAATTTCTCAGACATGCAGACCCGAGTTCGATCCCCGCCGGCACCAATGAAATTGTTAATTGCAATTGTGCTGATTTACCACGTGCTCGGCGGTGAAGGAAAACATATTGAGGAAACCTGCACGTCTGAGAATATAATTATAATCGAATGTAAATCAAATTGACATAGGTAAGTACAGATAAAATTAGCGGAACATTAATAAAATTTTGAGATCGTTTTTTTTTTTTAAATTTTTTTTTTTTTTCGCTTTTTTTATAGAATAGGGTGACAAACGAGCACACAGTCCACCTGATGCTAAGTGGTTGCTGCGGCCCATAGACATCTACATCTATCCTCCATTAAAAATCAAAATGCAGATGCGTTGTTATCCGTGAGGACTGAGATGGAATGCCTCGTTCCCAGTAAAAAAAGGGTCTCCGGTTCTCTACACTCACCATACGAAATACAGCAGCATTAAGCTACTATTTCACGCTGGTATTCTGTGAGAGCGTGGTCCTTCCCCGGTCGAGCCGACCCATTTGTGCTACAACTATACTACTAATATAACTGCAGCATGGCTCTACCACGTATAATTTTTTTTAATTATTTATATTCCGGTATTTTTGTCTGTTCTTATATCAATTTAATTTACATTCGATCTCTAAATTGTAGCTTGCGAGGGTAACGGGGATCTATCAGCTCCGGCAAAACACATTTCTGATAAAAGCTATCTAATTTTAAAATTTTGTCTGCCGTCCAAAACGCATCATCTCTTTCAATAATATCAATTTCTATGCCAAACAGAGTAGTATCGAAATCCAAATTTCAAGCAGGGGTCAATGTGGCGTAGTAATTTAGAGCGCAGGTATAGTTATAGTCATAGTCACAGGCCGCAGCTGACTGAGTCGAATAAAACTAGAATAAGCGCGCGTCACCGCGCATGCATGTGTGTGTAAGTGTCGTCCTTCCCGCACCGCACCGGGGGAAACATTATTTAGTGAGATGCACGATAATTCATATAAACACCGCGCGTAAAAAAATACGAAAAGGCCTTTGGAAGAAGGGGTTTTATGAAAAAACCACTGCATAAATCAATTATAAATAAAATTTATTGAATTCTTCGATAATTGAGCTGTGTCGGTACCGACTTTGTCTTGGAAATTTTACACTGCTTTTATTACTAATTTACGCCCAAAGTTGTGTTAAAATTGGCAATAAAAACGAATCTTTGATAGCTCGTAACTTTTTAATGACTTTTTGTTTTACTATTCTGTTTCCGTACAGACAAAATTAATAATGAGACAAAACGATATCATGTTTAACTGTCACTTGTATGTACTGTTGATGTACACTGTCAAACAGCGGAGTAAAACCCCTCCGAAATTTCTATGGAAATAATGTCGACTAGTGTCACCTTAAGCAGGAGAATGAATTAAAAACTATGTATATTACGGGGATTCTGGATAATTTGTAATATAGGGAGTCCTGATTGGTTTCCCTCCGTCTGGCAATATACGAATATTTGTATATCGATATATGGTAAATTTTCAAAGAAATGAGTTAAACACTATCTTTGAAATTGTTTAATGGACCAATATTCGCAGTCATAATGTATTAAAATTGCTTACAAGTGGTGACGCTACAATAATGCGAAATGAAAGGACGTAGAATCAATATTGATATATATATATATATATATATATATATATATATATATATATATATATATATATATATATATATATATATATATATAATGTGATTTGAACCGAATCCGAACTTCGGTTCATTTTCGCACGCTTTCTCGAGAGCGACGCGTCGTGACTTGTTTACGCATTTACTTCAAATACCCCGCCCGCACACCGCAGGAAACATATACCTACGAAAAAAAACGTAACAAACTTCTGCCAGGTAAGGCAGATCTTTGGTGTTTTTGCACCATAACCTGAGTCTGGTAAATTTTAAATATGACTAGATAGACAAGAAAAGTTGGTTTAATATGATTGTTGAAAACAAATACCCTTTAATTGTAATAAAAAATACTTGAGGTTAATGAATGTTGAATCAAAAACATTATTTTTTTTATTTAATTTACGGACTCCTATCCAGATGTTTACTAGGAGAATACAAAGTTTATTTCATTTCTGTAATATGGCTAATTATTAATTAGGCGGGGATTTCTAAGATTAATAACTAATTAACTAAGATTAAGGTAAGAACTAAGATTAAGATTAATGATAAGATAGGAACTGATTTAATATAAGGTTTACATTTACAATGTTCCGAAATAAATAAATAAATAATTGACCATGAGTGAGTAAAAATAATATCTTTTATTTTACAGTATCTAATGTTGTTATATAAGGTGCTTCTAAAATATATGCCACGGTTGTTTGTATGGAGACTTGGCCAATCAGCTGATCGATTTCCATACAAAGTGCAATTTTTTTTTGAGAATTGACTATGGGTTCCTTGGGGAAAGTGGTACAGTATCATGAGTAGAACCACCAGTTGCAGCCATGACATATTGTAGTTTAGAAGCACCTTATTTCAGTTAAAATAAGTGCAAGTAGGTATTTTCTTGTACCGAATTTCGGCCCATCTCTAATATATATATATATATATATATATATATATATATATATATATATATATATATATATATATATATATATATATATATATATATGTATTGAAAAAAAAAAAATATATCATTGAGAATTTAAACTATACGCGTGTGTGAGTTTGTGTGTATATAAAGAGGGCTACTTTTAATATCGCTCATTTTAATATCAAAAATTTAGGTTATCTTTATAGCAGTATTATATTTCCAATTCAAAATTAGTACTGCATTTGTGATAATAATAAAATGTATGTATATAGAGTACTCACTCATTTTCTTTCACTATTTTTTCGTGACTTTCTTCATTAATAATAAATGCACTTTGTTCATTCATATTCAAAACACTTTATACACAAACACCGTGTCGAAGACTGCCGAAAAGAAACGACGTTAGACCATCGTTAGACAATGCACGGCCTTCAAGCCACACCTCTGTGCCCGTCGGAGTGGGGAGCGTGAGGTTTTTTCGTTACTACGGAATAAATTTCTGGATTCGGTCCCCGCGCTCAAGGCCCGCGATAGAAGCTATGCAATAGCCTAAAAACATCCTAATTTTAATAGAGAAGATGAATGGGTGCTGCCATCTGCTTGGGATTTAACAAAATTAAATCCTAACCCAAGCATACCACTGCAAGACTTCAAGATACTGTATACTGTATATAAGATATAGCTCGTTCTGCGTAAATCTGATCAAAAATGAATATTCAAAAACTGAAGGTAGCTGTGCTGTGACATTGGGACGTCAAACATCTCAGTCCCGTCTCCCCCCCCCCCCCCCCCACGTGGCCACGGGTGCTGTAAAGCGCCCGAAACGTCGGGAATTAAAAATAAATAAATTAAACTCTATATAATCCGTAGTTTTATTCAAGGTAAATTGATTACGTAAATAATTAGCGACACCCCCCCGCCTTGCGAATGTCACGCAATTTTTTTCGAGAAACAAATTTTTCCAAATTAGATTTTTCTTTTATTTTAGTATTTTGTTTTTACTTTCTTTTATTTTATACTGATTATTAACGATATTTTTGTATTTATTTTTGCTCTAAAATTACCGTAATTAAGAACCTAGGTACTAATATCGCACTAATCCCACTAATATTATAAATGTGAAAATTTATATGTTTGGATGTTTGTTCCTCGATCATGATAAAAATTCTGGACGGATTCAAGTCAAATTTATAACACAGATAGCTCATATCCCACTTATATTATAAATGTTAAAGTTTATGTGTTTGGATAAAACAGAATTGCAAACGCGATAAAACAGAATTGATTGCGTGTGAAGCCGCGGGCGTACTCTAGTTTCAAATAAAACAATGACCTTGTACAGGTTTAAAATAACACATTTAATACAAATAATAATGAAAATAAAATATAAATGAAAATACACTATATTTAAACAATTTAATACTACATATTTACAATTTTATACGAGGATACCACAACTATCCAAAAACTTTTAATCCTTTTTCTTAATTGTATAATTTAAGAAAAAAGAATAACACTTTTTGGATTTCTCTAAACCAGTTCAGAGATGCCCCGTGGCCTACTATGCACCGCCTTAGAAGGGTTGCAGATTCCAACAAACTAAATTGGGTAGGTATGTTAAAAAAAATTGTATTTATTTAAATTTTTTTGTGTAAGATTTTGTAATTTTAAGTATCAGTTTCCATTTTTTTTCTAATTTGGGTTTCTGGATGTGGTTTTATGGTTAAAAAAATCATAAAACCTTAATAAATACCCAAATTAAGAAAAAAAATTTAAAACTGTTACAATCTTTCATAAAAAAATTAAAATAAATACAAATTTTTTAACATACCCAATAACCTGTCGTTACATTGTAAATACCATATCCAAAACAATTTATGCAGAATATACGAACGATATGTACGAACAGCTTAGCAAGAAAATGGGAGTAGTTATTTCTTATTTACATCCATACATACATACACATTACACAGGATTTACACCTCTTGCCCAAAAAAAGTGCTAAGAAATCTGCCTAGTGCCGACCGATACCCCAAAGCAAATATGGCATGGCAATCAAATCTCGCTGTTACACACACAACCACAATACGTTCACACAATAGTACTTACAAGAAATTCATGTTTAATGACGCCGCCTACCCTTGCGAGATTTTATGTCCCTGCCAGGAAGTTGTTGAAGGGAGTGCCAAACCCTCCAACAATCGCCTGGGCACATAGCCTCGTCGCAAGTGGCGCATTTTAAATGAACTTTCTTGTCCTTACCATTCCGAGCACAGATGCGACAATTCATTCGGTTTCCGCGGCCCGTAGTCAATTCAGGAACGTGCACTAAGTCCCTGCGCAGTCTCAAATCTTCCATGTCAATCCCTGGATTCACTTGTGGAGAAGAGCGGCGGTGTCTTGCCACAAGGGAATCAGCGAGCTGTTCACGGAAGCTTCGATGCAGCAACTCGGGCTTACCGCGACGACTTATTGACTCCGTCAGCAAAATGAATGCATTGAGTACACTGACGTTCAGCAATCTTTTAAAAATTTTCATGTACCACTTCACACATCTCTTTCGTTCCAACAAGCACGCTGAGAGTTTTTGATCTTTAAGATCAACACCTCCCATCGTATTGTTGTAATCTAGTACAGCCACTGGCTTTACTAGATCCCTTCCTTTCTTCTTGCCAACGACGGTTTCGTCGGGGTGGTAGGTAGATATCATCGTCACAATTTTGAAGACTTTCCATGCAATGCATGAAACGTCTCCAGAATGGCGAGCGATGATAGTCCCCATCGCCACATTCTTCGGAGCCTTCGCGACATCCACCGGTACGTATTTGCGATTTGGACGCAATGTCCCCAAGCAATCGAATCCCAAACTCTTCAGGTGCCTTGCCAACGCTGGACAATTGTAAAAATTGTCCATCGTAACAAAGGTGCCCGCGATTTTCGAGACCTTTTAGCAAATCAAGTACCACTTGGGTACTCTTGCATGCCAAATCAACACTAGGAGCAACGATATCATCGTGCTCAGATTTCTTTCCCGTGTAAATATCAAATTTTCACAGATAGCCAGTCTTTGATTCACATAATTCGTATGACTTTATGCCGAAATGTGAAGCCTTTGACCTTATCGATTGGACCCAGGACAATCGCCACTTGAATAAGGTCAAAGATTCGTCGATAGATACATCCTGACGAAGGTTGTATAATTTTGAAAAAACCGAATTCAAATGTTTTAAGACTGGCGCGATTTTCGCTAATTTCGCCGAATAGACAACTCTTTCACTTTGAAGCAAATTTTGACTTCTATCAGAATTGTCTGCAAAGTGAATGAATTTACTAAGCAAAATATAACGATTGTACGACATAAGCTGTCTGAATCTGGGCATTTCTAGATAGCCGGTCGTCTTCCAATATTCGTGCTGAGATGTCCGAATATCTATTCCCATGAATACATAAATGGCAAAGAAGATGTACATCTCGTCTACATCGGTAGGAGTCCACTGGTGGAGACGAGATGACTCTTTCAGTTTGCCTGCTATTCTCAGCTTCTCAATCTCCTGGCTAGCGTACCGATTGGTTTCCTGCACGATATACTCCATGAAACTTGTACTCCAAATATCCGTAAAAGCTTCATAGGGCGTATCATAATCAGTGATAGGTCCGGGGGTGGGACCCGAAAAGTCTTCGGGTACACCACCGAATGTATCAAAGTTACTTTGCCAAACGAAATCAGTCGACACGGTAACCTGACGATCGATAGCTTCATCCATTGCTTTTGATACAGTATTTACAATGTTACGCTCAGCTTCATTTGGTTCGTCGTCTTTCGGAATGTCTCGACCAGCACCAGCGGAGACAGCGAATTCATCCACGTTGTACTCGTCATCAAAGTCCGAGTCAAATTCACTGCCTTCCTCTAATACTTCCACAATACGCCTGGAGGTTTTGTCCATCCCCGAAGTTGATGGACGAACATCAATGTCGCTAGAGGCAGATATCGATGCTGCTGGGAGATTATTAGTGTTCGATATGCCACCCGATGCACATTGAATACTAATAACTCCAGAAGACGCATTGGTATCCACCTCTATTGGCATCGGCGTATTGCAGGAATATGGTACTGGATCCACAGATTCCAGCGACTGCAACTCACTGAACCATTTCTGAACGTGGTCCAAATTTTTATTAGAGTTTCGCCCTCTTCCTCGTCAATGTCCATCGCAGCGGCGCGTTCCAACGGCGTAACACTAAAACAAAAAAAAATGTTTTTAGATCAAAAAGCATTGCAAATTTCAAATATAAGAATATTCATATAAACAATCAATACTAACTGAATAGAGTCCTCTAAAGTTTTCTTAGGGGAAACTTGTGGCCGACGACGCAGTTTACCTCCAGGGGTCATGATAATATCTACGGCCCTTCCAACGTATAATGACCCTCTTGGAGTACGGTGAACTTCTCTTGTATTCCTGATAAACAACGTTATTATCAATTTGGTAAGTGCTAAAAAGTAGATACACATCAGATACATCATCAGATAAACATGGCATTCAGAAGATGTGTTACTGTAATTTATTACTATATCACTCACATGGGTGGCTTCCATAGTTTTGGCTCTTCATCCAGCTGAGGCTCCCTGATAGGCATGTTTTCTACTGAGCTCTGTAGGAGCAAGCAGCGACGGCTCTTAGGTGGCGGCGCTGGCGTCACAGACCGTGAGCGTGAGCGTGAGCGGGAGCGAGACATGCGTGCCCTTGCGCCAGCAGTGCTAAAACATCATAAATAAAGAAGAAAAAAACTAAAAATTGATTTTTTCTCTGAAATTATGCGTCGTAGGGCACAACTGTAAACAACTTAAAATATTTGTGTGGTTTAGATATACACGATGCCGTAATGAGAAATTGTGATGAAAAAAATTATGTCTTAAAAAACTTAAATTTAATTTTATCTCAGAAACTATGCGTCAAGTCGCAAAAATGGACATAACTTTAACGGTTTATTTATGTAAGATAAACACGATTCTACAAAGAAAACGGACGATATGAAAAACAAAAATTCCTTAAAAAAATTAAAAAATCTTTTTATCTCTGAAACTGTTTTATCAAAGAAAAAACTTGATGGTATACCTAATTCTTATATCAATTATTAACCAGATTTCATAGTAAAAAGAGCTCTCACAAGTGCATCATAGCAAATTTTTTTTGTCAACGGTACTTTTGATCAAATTTTAGGTAGTTTTGCATTGTATCAACAAATTCTATAAAATGAAAGAGATTTAGCAAAAACTAATACCAGAAATGTGTTCCTGAATCAATTTACAATAACTTTACTTAATTTCCCAAACATTTTGAGGAAAAGTTCATCACAAAATCAATGTCATAAAAGTTTCGTCGTTGCAAGTTTTCCCGCCACGAAAAAGTTTCACTGTTTCTTTACTATCGAAATGAAATTTGTGTCTTGAGTAAATATGATAAAACGATTTTGTATTCAATTCCTAGTAAATTGATATATAATTTATAAAATAAACACTTACCGTTTGAAAGCTTTGGACATTTTTCTTCCACACGAAACACTTTGTTTTTGCACAGAAATTGAAAATGGCGACTAAAAGAATGAACGTCACGGCTGACTCAAATTTTTTTTTTTTACCTTTATTTCTTAATTTTGATTGGTGTATCACACATGAATGAATGAATGATTTGTTGAACTTTGAGAATGAGGAAAAATTTGAACAACCAATCACCACGCAGATTGAATATCAAAGACAAAAGAAGATCCATTCCTTATGGACACATGGTGTTCTTCGGGCGCTACCAGCACTTTTCGCTTATGGACACATGGTGTCTTTCGGACGATTGAGAGGTTAAGCAAGCTTTCATATACAAGAATAACATGAGTTGTTGTTGAAGAGAATGTATCCTAAAACTCCGTGTAATGAACAATACTTTGTGTATTTAAGTGACAAATGTAAATGAAACACAATTCAAAAATTTTGGATTTTTTTTATAAGGTAGGGTTACAAGCGAGCACACAGTCCACCTGATGGTAAGTGGTTGCTGTGGTTCATAGACATCTACATCTATCGTCGGTTACGAATCAAAATGCAGATGTCGTTGTCACCCGTGAGGACTAAGATGGAATGCCTCACCATAATACCACCCATCAATGCAGCGTTTCCAGTCAAAAGGATCTCCGGTTCTCTACACTCACCATACAAAACACAGCAGCATTAAGCTACTATTTTACGCTGGTATTCTTTGAGAGCGTGGTCCTTCCCCAGTCGAGCCGAACCATTCGTGCTACAACTATACTACTAATATAACTGCAGCATGGCTCTACCACGTATGTTATATATTATCATCACTAATGAATGAATGCAATATGACAGGTTCATTGAAAGCATCCACAAGCAATAGGGCTGTTGCAAGTAGAATAACAAGATTAATTATCTGACATTAGATAATAATATATAAAATAATAATTAAATATATAAATAAATATTCAGCTTAAAACAATATTTAGTTTAAGTTGTTAATTTCCATACCTTCGATAAGAGTCATGATTTTCCCGGTCGGCATCAGCATACGGCGCCCAGTGTGCAGGTGCAGATTCATTATCCTCGCATTCGGTGCTGTTGCTCGTGCCTGAATAATTTATGAAACATTTATTGGTATAGAATTAGTATTGAAATAATGTTTTTCCTTGACATATCAAATGAACATCGCCCTCTAAAAAGACCACACCGACTTTGATAGCATTAATGCTGTTGCATAAGTGTAAGCAACAGTGACTAAGTAGAATAAGGCTTATTTTCTCTAGCTTGTATGCCTCTTTCTGCTTAAAAGTTATTGGTATGTGCCATTACTATCCTCTTTCTTTTCTTTTGTAGTTTGAAAGGTATGGAAAACCATTGTTATTTCAGGATGTGTGAAATACCATCTTAATACTAATTATTAACTCGACGGTATTTTTATGTATGTTTGGCGAATTTTAATAATTATAGTATATCTATACTTTAAGGGTGTACTTTAGGTGTATAATAGCTATACTTTAAGAGTGATCCTACGTAAACTTTTTTTGTAAAATTTTCAAATAAATAAAGATAATTATCATTGTGTCGTATTTATTGGCAAACAACACAACAAACTGGCAACAGTTACAGGGCAGCCCTAATGACCTGAACGCACTTATTTGCACTTACGTAATGTCCGGGATGTGATTATAGGCTGTGTGGTATTCCCTTTTAGTCCTTAACTATAGCCTGCGGTAATCGCTTACTATAAGGTATCGACTTCATATTTTAATGATATGAAACAATGATTTAAAAAATTATTTATAACATAATGAAATGGATGTCAGCAACAAACCATATGGGCGTGAGTGACAGGTACCTATGGTTAGTGATCATTTTATTAGGCTCGATGTGTGAAATTTACTGATAATTTAATTCTTTTTAAGGATTATTTTTATAATTAAATTTAAGGATTAAAATACCAAGAATACAGTGATAAATAACCCCTGGGAATTGGTTGGGTTTTTATATATTAACTAGGTTATTATACCATGCTGTTTAATGTTTTCATACTTAACAACTTCCCTGTAGTAATATACATGTTATATAGTACGGCCAACGAGCGATATGAAATGTAAACAAAACCAATGCAAGGTTATTAGGAATAGCAGGGGCGCGTAACGTTTTGATAGTTAGATTATTATTTAAGTAGACAATATAGTTTTAAAAAATGTCTTGTTACTGCCCCCAAGTTACCCTGACAAAAGCCGATTGAGACTAGGGACCATCAGTAGCCCAATTCGACGGGTAACAAAGGGGAGGGTCCAACTGACCTATGGATAATTAAACTATAACGGCTAACAAAGAAGCAAGGCGGAGGTAGGGTTAACTACAGGGCATTTGTCAGGTGAAAGGTGATGTGCATGTAAGTGGTGTTCAGTAATGTGTACAAGGTGTAACCTGACGGCGCCGCTGATCCTGGACAGCAGATCCCAAGGCGCTGCCTCTCTCCAAATGTGGGATCTCATCTAAGGGGGGGGGGGTTCACCAATGGAAAACTTCTACTTCAATTCTCACTATATTAAATTATTAACTTTATTGTACATTTAAATTAACTTCAAATTCAACCAAATCAACGTTAATCGACATTAAAACAAGTGACACGCTACATAACTTAAGGAAGGCTGGTCAAAGTTCAAAGTCCCAGGTTCACTTAGCACAACTACTAACTCCAAGTAGAAACAAATTCCAAGTAGGCCTCTTGTCACGTAACACGGTCAAAACAGACAACTAAATTCGAGGCGGTCCAGACTATGCCCTAATATTCAATAGTAAATTCAAAATGGCGCGTACAATTAACATAAGCCATAGACATTCGAGTCAACACCTGCCGCGCACAACCGTATGCCGGTCACAAACAATACTCAAAGTATAATCGACCCGGGCTTCGCGCAAATAAACTCAATAAATAAGCCTTGTTATCACGGATACGTACATATATAAGATAACACTAGGAGGCCGCCCTTTCGACGCAAAATTATATTAAACTCGCGAGCCCTAAATCGACCCGGAAGATTACGTAACGCCCGACGTTCAACTGACGCGGTTACACCGCTCAAGGCTTCCGGCCGACCGCCCCGCTTGAGCTGCGCGTACGACACAGCTAGCCTCTCCTCCCGCGCTACGCTAACCGTTACCTCACCCCGCTCGAAGCAATCGGGCGTAAACATGTCTAGCAAACCAAAAAAAAAAAAATACTTTTTATAAATTTTGTTATAATTTGAATTATTGTATAATGTAGATTTAAATTAAATAACGAGAATAATAATAATGTTTCTGAATATCCCTTGCCTAACAACCGTGTGCCCGGTGTATGGTAACAGGCTTGCCCCCTGTTACATAGAGACTTAAATATGTTATGTTTATGGAAATGAGGATAAAAATATTTTTTGAGGAAATCATTTTTTATTCAGTCAGACGCCGATTCTTCTGAGTCTGTAGAGCAGTGATTCCCAAAGTGGTCTATATCGACCCCTAGGGGTCTATGACAACCTGCAAGGGGTCTGCGTCAGCGAAAAAAGATTTGGGGTCCATGAAATGAAAATGGGGGTCCACGATAGTGGATCTCAACACATACACTGATAGTACCTATTTACTTACATCATAATATCTTATAATATCAAAACATATACATTATTTATGAAAGTACCTACGAAGTAAAAAAATTATTATTATGTTTATAAAATTGTGTAAGTTGTAGGATGTTGGTATTCGCTTTGTGGTCGCAATACATTTTGAACTTGTAAAAACCTGAGAGTCGCAGTCTCAGAGCTTCGCTACCTTGTACTGACTTGTTCAATTCGTCACTCTATAAATACGAATGTGGGACAAATACGTTCATTCGTTTCCTGAATCTTGAAAAGAAAAGTGCTAAAAAAATATTTTAAAAAATATAAACAGATAGTATATCACACAAATTATAGTGAGTCAGTCTTATTTTATTTGAGAGTGCTGGAGAAAAGTAAGTACATTATTTTTTATTAAATTTTAGTTTTGTACTCGTAGTTAGCAAAGATAGATAAATTACGCCAATCATGACTTTAGTTATTAGTAGTTTAATATTCAATCACGCAAAATTACACGAGTACTCCTCAATAGTTTCTTTTTGAAAGTTTTAGCAATCGGTATTATAATTACAGTGCAATCTCCGTATTCGGTATTTTAATATTTTTACTCAGGTATTAAATTTTCGATATCATCAAATATAAGCTGACCTCTGCGATTTATATTGGGTTCTTTTAATACTTTAACAATAACATTTTTATTGACACAGTCTTCATCATCTTTGTTCAGCAAAAAAAAAAAACATTTACGGTGTTTTTTATCCTTCTGAGAGATTTTACTGTAAAAGTGTTGTCATCATGATTAATATTTATCACTTGTCCAATAAAATACTTTATGGCAGTATTCTTCTTTAACTGACATTGGTAAGACGTAACAACCCACGAGCCTATTTGTATATTCTCATATGTATCCCTTAGCTTTGCCTTTTCTAATCTTGTTATATTTAATTTAAATTCAATTAATAAATGTATAAATTAACATGTGTTTTTACTTTAAGAGTTTTAACACTAAACTTCACTACAGTTAGAAATTTACAGGAAATCAATATCAGGTAAGTAGGGGGTCTACCCAACACGGAAAAACGTGGCAAGGGTCTACGACACAAAAAAGTTTGGGGAACTCTGCTGTAGAGTCAGAATCAGAGTCCGTAACACGTATAATAAATTTATCCGTCACGTCATCTACAATAAAATCAAGTTTGAAAAACTTATCTTCTTCCTTTTGAACAAGCTACACACATTTCTTCCACCGATCAGGCGTCACTTTCACCATACCGTCACTTAATAATGCCTTAAGTTATCAACGAAACAAAATAACAAAACTTTTAACAAATAACTTGTATCACAACGAGCGCTTTCCAAACGGGATGTGATTCATCCCGTTTTGGAACGCGCTCGTGGTATTATTACTAAAACGGCTTCCCGAATGTTGGCGAACCCGTCTTGACATATTTTTGCCGGGAAAACGAGACATTACGACAATCCACAGTCGTTTTAAAGGTAAATGACCTTTCGTATCGCTGCTAGTTGGCCGAACTTAAACTACGACTACTAACTAGAACTAATTACATAAATGTTCATATTACATGACTCATGGGACTGTAAAATAGTTAATTGTATATAATACTATATTGTCAATTAGTGTTTAAAAATACGGTAATACAAATGAAAAATTTGCAGTAATTTTATTAAAAAAAAGTTACACAAAAAAAAGTTCACATTAGGGATTTATTCCTGTGTCATAGTACTGTACTACTATCGGGGGTAGTTTTACATACATAAATTTCACACACAAGGACAAATACTCATATCCGGAACAATTATTTATAGGTCATACAAATACTTATTCCATGCTGGTTCGAACACACGACCTTAGCCATGCAAGTCATTATTAAGAGGATAGAGTAAGTCAGCTCAAATTCTAATTTCACCCCCACTTCCCCGCGCGTCGTATGCTATGTACCGACATGTTTGTAATCACTAATACTGTAAGTAGATAGGTCGTTAGATACTTATTTCATTAGGTTTATTAGGTGTAGGACGTGAGCGACTCGCGAAGTATCTTCGACAACATTTACTCCGGAGAGTTTCGCCCGTCCGGCACATTTATCATATTTATGCCTGTTTCTTAACGCCAACCCAGTCTTTCTTGTCTTCTTATTTTTATAACGGTTATTTCCCATTTTAATTTTACGTCGTCCTGTTGCGTAATGTGTATTCTGATCGTAAGCGACACAACTTCTTCCTTCAAAAGCCGGAGCGATACTAACGGGGCGACAGGAATCAAGCTTACGAGCCGATAGTTTAGGTAATTTCTTTTTACAGTGAAAATAATGGTATTTTAAAAAAAGTAAATAACATTCATAAAATACTTTAAATAAGATCATGAAACTTTGCATACTAACTGAACTAACTATAAAGCAGTGCTTAACAGCGGTTTATTGTTCAGTTTGGAGGTAAGTTTGGATTTTTTTTTCTATCTAAGTGTTTTCGTCTAACATAGTCCTTAACATTAATCCTCAACTTTACCATATATTTATTTCAAAATTAATGCTGCAATACTTTCGGCATAACGGAGGATCTTGCTAAGCCATTTGAGATTATATTTCCCCTTAAGCCAACGGAACCGTTTTTGGCAGCAGAGATAGGTAAAAGCGTGTACGTACCCATGTAATGGTAGTGTATAAGTATCGTAAGGCGCGACAGAGGGAAAATGAAACAGTAGATGGGTAGTAAGTATCTTCGTAACAAAAACTCAAAATAATAAAAATTTGCGGTTGCCAACCCACTTGGCAACATGACAATTATGACAAAATCGCCCCATGAGGTAATATATGAGGGAGGCCTGTGTTCAGCTGTGGACTTTTATAGGCTGGAATGGATGGATGTATGGATGGATTCAGCTAAACTTATGTTACCACTGGATTTGAAACCATCGACACCTATATATTATTACATGTTACACCTATATACATGATTATAAGGTTAATAAATTATAAAACCATAGAGTAACATATTATGTAAGAATAACAAGATTTGTGGGTAATTGTAACATCGTTATAAACTATAAAAGGTACTGCTGTGTCTTAGTGGGCGTTCAGTTGTGAGTCTCCTGCCTACAAGTTAGTTACTCTGCTCAAATCTGTGCTCATTTACATTAAGTAAGGAATAATATATAATTACTGTGATTCGTTGATCGAGTGAATAAAAAGTGCTACTGTGTAATCTGTTTTATTTCATATCTACTAATTAAAACTTATCACTAATATTACAGACATAACATTACATTAGATAGGTACGGTAGTGGTGTACGTACAGTGAGCGGAGGGCGTGGAGTGCGCGGGCGCGGGTTCGGGCTCGGGGCCGGGCGGCGGCGAGGCGCGCGCGGGCGGCGACGGGCTGTCCAGCGAGATGACACCCGCCGCGCCCGGCGACCGGTACCCGCTCGACGACACCGCCTCCACCGCCTCTACCGTCTCCACCGCTGCAACCAACACATTCTCATTCAACTCAAAACTTCTTTAGGCACCTTGTCCACTTTTAAGATGGAGAAAAAGCACTAAACCGTCACACTCAGATACATAAAATTGATGAAGTATTGAAAATACAATAAAATTTTATAAAATTGATATGTAGATTACTTATATATCTTTATTTGTATTATATAGATAATAACCAGCCTTTTTCGTGTAAAACAGCACAACTTATGATTTGACTAAGTACAATTGACATGAATGTGTGTGAACTTTCCCACTGTTGAAATGAAACTTTTTTAAGAAAATATGAAATACATATTAATAATTTTTTTTAAAAGGAGATAGTTACCATTTGGAGAGGCATAGTCATCAGTCTTGATATTATTTGTTTCAACTATTGGTGGCGTTTGTTTGGGCTGCTGCACCTTCCTTTTGAGAGGCACCTCATCATCAGAGTCAGACGTGAGATCTACAAGCAATTCCGTTGGTTTCGCAATACGCCCTTCTCCTACCGCTGCTCGTTTTGCACCGCCCGTGCCGTCGACAGGAATTATTTCTGTAAAAAAAAAGATTTTATTAAGTGTCATTGTAATGACCTTACAGAAGCACAGGGAATCTGGGAGAATCCTGACTTCAATGCCCGCAGTACCGGCTGTATTTGTTTCTTAATCCCTCTGTCATCTAAATCTCTTAAAAAATGAAAAAAGTTAGAGAAAGTCTAACATAAATACCGGTCGGACAAGCTGGCTATCATGCATTTCTCAACCATAGTTTACCCAATACTATGGGACTACTAGTCCATGAGCGCCGGCAGCCAACTTCTCTTTAAGCGTGTTATACTTTTGATACCACAATCACTTATCTAACATTCGATTCATTTAGTACTAACATAACCAGCCTACCTCCTTATAGAATACGTTGTTATATTCCTCACGATTATAGTAAAAAGATATATACAAAATTATCATCCCATTTCTTCCCATGGCTATCATAAGAGACGACAAAAGGGAATGCCAAAAAAAAGCCAAGTGTGTCATTAGATCTAATAGGTATACAATCTTATTCACACCGTATGTGAAATACCTAAACCGCAATGAACAGCGGCATTAAGAGGGCAAACTTCATGTTTTAGTTTTTTTAAGGGCGATATCGTAACGATGTGTACTTTTAGTGCAACAGAGTCTAAATTACGAAAATATTTCGACTTGGTATTAAAAAACAATACTTTAAATCACCAAACTGGTCCACTTCAATGTAATTTTTTTGCGTGTATTTGGAATTTGGATATAAATTTATCTATTTTAATTATTTTATCAAAGTAATGTTAAATATTAAAACAAATTTTTAACTAGTTTTATTTAGCAATTATTTCATATGCTTACTTTAAAAATACTATAAATCATCACGTACAGACTCCGTCCGATTCAGTACGCTCCGTACGATTTTTAGGGGTACGTCCCGATTAACCCTTGATCAGGACGCCAAATGTCCCGAATTTTCACTAACATCTCTAGTCTATATTTCAATCGATCATTTTGACAGCAAAATTGAATATGTCTGTAAGCTAGTTAGTCACAGAATTTACGTGTGATTGGAGAAACAAATAAATGCAATATCTATATATCTATCTATAATTTCAGAGTCAGCTACGACTAGGATTGAAGGAAGATTATCATTATACAGAGCTGATAATATAACCTCCGATTGTGTTTTGTTTTTCAAAGTAATCATTTTTAAGTTTCAAAGATCCAAACTTATTTTTATTTTTCTACAATACAACTTGGAAAATTGGGCTGTGCTTAAATTATAAACATCTCGCAATACTGGTTATCTCACAATAACAATTTAGTAAGACCTCTATATTGTATACAGTCTCGAATCGGAAATACCGTAGAATACCCTAATATTCGGAAACACTAAGTTAGACGAACAATACTTACGTAATACTTATTCTGAGGTGGTGTATAAAGGTATCTTTATTGTATTGGATTCTGTACTGTGAGCATTCAAACTATGTAAAGTGAAAGAAATAGTTAAAATGTTACATTGTGATATAAATAACGATATTATATTACAAAGTTAAAAGAAATTTTTAGTTATTGGAAAAACTGATTAGTCTATTAAAATTAATTGAGGCTATCGGCGCAAAAGTGGTGTAAGCCTAGTTGCGGTTTTGGTGTAAACTACATTCCGTACATTATCAACTTTAAATACAATAGTGGAGTAAGCCACCTTTTGCTATCCAAAAATAGATGGCGCTAAAACATAGTTTTTGCACGGAACGTAATGTAGCAGACTAAAAGAGCAAACCTGGTGTAAGCTGAATACACCACTTTTGAACTATAGCAACACAGGTATGTCTGTGGCTTACGTCGAATCCGTAATATAACGTCAGTCATCAGTCTCAGCTGTCAAAATGGTAAAATTGAGAGAAACTATACTGAATTTAATTGAAATTTATTTATATTCTAAAATACCCAATTATACGTACTGAATAACATTATTTTTGCAACTAACTATGAACGAAGAAGATGATATTACTTCAGGTAAGTTAAAATAGTGTCTGATTTACTGCAAATTTTAAACATGTTGAATACTGGGGTACATAACCGTTTTGTATTTTTTATATTGTTAACCTAGTCAATTTTGGTTACAGTTGGAGACCTGGACTTTGAAGATTCTGGTTCCGAATATCTCCCATCACCTACGCCCTCATCAGGCAATGACGACGACTCGGAAGAAGTCCAGCAATGCAGTATTAATTCAGCCACAACAACTTTACCACAGCCCATGCCAAGCACATCAACAGCAGAGCTTCAATTAAGCTTGTCTGAACAGGAATCAGCTGAAACTACCAATGAAACCCCTGTCCTCAAAAGCAGAAAGCGCGTAAAAAGGCCTGAGACTTGGCAGCGAAATGTGCTTAAGTTAAAACGAACAAAAGGCGAACAATATGAAAATCACAAAAAGAACGTTATTCCTGCGAAGACAGCCAAAATAGGGGAATGTCTATGTCCTAAAAAAATGTCATCTGAAGATAAATGAAGACCGTCAACTGGAAATATTCCGAAGCTTTTATGCATTAGCAAATTTTGACATTCAAAATGCATTACTGTTCTCGTTAGTTAGAGTGACCAATAAATGCAGAAGCTACACAGGAAGAGAGGACTCAAGAAGACAGAAAACACATATCTATCATTTACTGAATTATGATGGTGTTGAAGTTCTGGTATGTAAAAAGTTTTTCCTGAGAACTTTTCAAGTTTCTGAAGGACGTGTAACTAGGGTAATGAAGCGCAAAAGTATTCACAATGTCCCACCTATTGATCAGAGAGATCGGCAAAGTTCTGTAAACAAAACACCAGATAATAAGATAGCAGAATTAAAAGAATTCATTGGCAAGTTTCCTGCCTATGAGTCTCATTACACTAGACATAAAAGTGAGAATAGGAGATTTCTATCACCAGATCTAAGCCTTGGAAAAATGTATTCTCTCTATAAAGAAAATGTACTTGAACCTTTATCAGCTTTCATGTTCAGTAAAATTTTTAACGAATGTTTTAACTACGGGGGGATAAGTCGCTGGGGGGATAAGTCGCTCGCGTCCGTAGGCTTCGACCACCTAATCCTAGGCCCACCCTACACGTTTCCCCCGGGTGGTGCTAAAAGAGCGACAAAGCCGAAAGAACAGACTCGGCTACTCGCCGTGTGGTAGCGGCGTAAAATATGCCACGCCCTAGTTTTCGCACCATGAGGCAAAAAGTAAAAGAAATGGCCCCGAGTTCCCGGCGCCCCTTTAATGGGGCAGGGGTGCGAAGAATCTCCGGGAGGAAAACCGGCGACGAGGTTAGCCACCCGTCACGTTCTGTCTCCCAGAGAGGCGAAAAGTGGATTGCAGAGGCCCGTCTGGCTACGTTGAATGTATGTGGGGCAATGAATGATAAAATGGATGAAGTATGCGATATGATGTATGATAGAGGAATAGATGTATTATGTGTAAATGAGACGAAAAGGAAGGGGAAGGATGTCACTGCACATGGCATGTATACCGCATACTGGTCTGGTGTAGACGAGATCGAGCGGGCATGCCAGGGAGTAGGTATCATCCTTTCAGAAAGAATGGGCCAATGTGTGAAAGAGTATGAATGTGTAAGCCCAAGACTGCTATGGATACAAATGAAAGTGGGCTTAAAGAAGTTGTTTGTGTTATGGGTCTACGCCCCAGACATATCTAAGCCCACTTATATCCGGGAGCAGTTTTGGGAAATGGTAAGGATGGTGTTAATGAAGTGTAAGGGAAATGAAAATATTATTATGTTAGGAGATTTTAATGGAAGGGTTGGGGTGAGGAGGCTTGGTTATGAAAGGATATTGGGAACGTTTGGTGATGAAAGTATAAATGAGAATGGTGAAAGCCTCCTCACCGTATGTGTGGAAAGGAATCTTTTTGTGACGAACACTTTCTTTCGTCATAAGAATATTCACATGTATACTTGGGAAAGAGGTGATGATAGAAGCATGATAGATTTCATAACTGTGGATGAAAGAATGAGGAGCGCAGTGGTGGATACAAGGGTTTACCGGGGGTCCAACGTAGGGACGGACCACTACCTGGTCTTATGCCGAATTAGGGGTTTATTCAGACGTTGGCGGCATAGGACATCTGTGTCTACCCCTGCGTTACAGCCTATAAGAATTGAGAGGTTACAAGATGAAGATGTGAAAGACAAGTACAAATGCAGACTGAGAGAAAATATAAGTAATTTGGATGAGTTGTGTGTGAATGAGTTAGACTTGGAGAATGTGCTAATGTTAAGAAAGGTTTAGTGGATGCAGCTACCGAAGTATGTGGTGTTAGTAAGAGAACGAATGAAAGGAAAGACAATACGTTATGGTGGGATGATGAGGTACGTATGGAAGTTGAAGCAAAGAAGAGAGCATGGCTAGATTTACTAGCGACCAAAGCTGGTAATTCTGGCGGTAAGAATGATGAGAATGAAAGAAAAAAGGCAGAGTTTAAACGTTTAAATAAGAGAGTAAAAGAATTAGTTGAAAGGAAAAAGCAAGAAAGAACGGATAGGAATGATAGAAGAATATCGGATAACTTCCAGGCAAATATTAAAATGTTCTGGAAACTCGTAAGAAATACCAGGGGACTTTCAAAACAGCCTAGATTGAATGCGATACGAGACGAGAATGGCTGTATCCTGAATGATGAAGTGTTGAGTCTAAAGAGATGGAAGGAATATTTTGAAAGCGAATTTATGAGTGAGGAGAAGTGTGAACTAAATGAAATAGAAATTCCGAAAGAAGATGAAAGAGATAGGGAGATAAGTATAGATGAAATAATGAAAGTAATGAAAAGCATAAAAGTAGGTAAGGCCGCCGGATATGATAGAGTTTCACTCGAAATGCTAAGGGCTGGAGAGGACGTGGTGGCAGGCCTGCTGTACACCTTGTTTAATTTATGTTGGGAACTAAAGCGGGTACCGGGAGACTGGTGCAAAGCCGTGATAGTCCCAATATATAAGGGAAAAGGGTCACAGCAGGACTGTAAAAACTACCGTGGTATCAGCCTTCTTAGCATTGTGGGAAAACTGTATGCTAAGGTACTAATTGAAAGAGTTATGAAAGAAACTGATGAAAAAATTTGGGATGTGCAAGCGGGATTTAGAAAGGGAATGGGGTGTACAGATCAAGTCTTTTCCATGCGCATGATCGCGGCGAAGTTTTCGGCGAAAAACCAAAAAGTTTTTTGTGCGTTCATGGGCTTGGAAAAGGCTTATGACAGAGTGGACAGGGATGTGTTATGGCAAACGCTGAACGCATTTAGGTTGAGCGCTGGTTTGATACAGGCATTGAAGTCTCTGTATAGGGACTCGAGTGCTTGTGTTAGAATCAACGGGGTCTACTCGGACTGGTTTGTCATCCATAAAGGTGTCAGACAGGGCTGTGTAGCTTCCCCGTGGCTGTTCAACCTATTTATGGACAGCTGTTTGGAAAATTTGAAAGTTGAAGAATGCGGGTTAAGAATGGGTGAGTTAACCATCAAATGCCTTTTGTACGCCGATGATCAAGTCATACTTGCGTCGTCGGCGGCCGAGTTGCAAATGATGGTTACATTAATGAACAGGTCATTAAAAGAAAGGGGAATGAAAGTGAACGCAAGTAAGACGAAAGTGATGGTTTTTGAAAGAGATGAAAGCAAAACGGTATGTGAAATTAAAATAAGGAATTAATTGAGCAAGTGGATGAGTTCGTATATTTGGGATGTGTATTCAGCAGAGATGGGAGATATGATAAGGATATTGAACGACGAGTGAATGCAGGAAATAAAGTAAATGGGGCTCTACACTCTATTGTGAAAAGTCAGAATGTGTCAAAAAAGGCACGTATGGCAATTCACAGTGCTGTATTAGTCCCTACTTTAACGTATGGTAGTGAAAGTTGGGTGTGGCAGAAGAAGCACGAGAGTAGAATAAATGCAGTAGAAATGCGGTCGCTAAGGAGTATGTTAGGGCTGAATCTGAGTGACAGGGTGAGAAACTGTGTGATAAAAGAAGAGTGTGGTTTGCAAGATGATGCGGTGACCAGGATTAAGAAAGGAATGCTTCGGTGGTTTGGTCATGTAGAAAGAATGAATGCGGAAAGACTGACAAAGCAAATATATGTTGCAGAAGTGAGTGGAAGAGTCGGAAAGGGACGTCCTAGGCGGAAGTTTGTCGACCAAATTGGCGATATACTAAAAATGGGCCAAATTAAGAGTACCCTTAACCGACGAGCATGTATGCGTAGGTATATGGATGTGGAAGAGGCGAGAAAGGTATGTCAGGATCGTGCTAAATGGAAGTCTGTAGTCTCTGCCTACCCCTCTGGGTGACAGGCATGAGTGTTTATGTTATGTTATATGTTTATGTTTTAACCTACATTTCCATGCACCCATCAGTGATTCTTTTAAAAAATGTGACCTTTTCCATAACAAAATTAAATCCGCTGAGAGTGAACCTCTAAAACAAGAGTTACAACGTGAAAAAGAATTACATCAGAGGAAAGCAGACAGTGCCAGACAAGGGCTACAAGATGATACGGCTTTGGCAAAATCATCTACTGATATTACTGTTTGATTTAATGAAAACCCTACCTACGCATGTGTTGACGACTGGAATAGTGTATTACAAGTGTATACAAGAGGCAACTTTGGACTTTTTGCTTTGGTATTCACAACATGGGGACAGATGATGCCTACATGTTTGTTTGGGATGAGTCTGAATCTGAAGCTTCGCGAGGACCACAAGAAATTGGTTCTTGCCTGCTTTATTTTTTTAAACATTATGTGAAAACTAAAAAAGTTGTCATGTATTCTGACCAATGTGGTGGGCAGAATAGAAACATAAAATTGTCATTGTTCTGTTAGTATATTGTATCTCACCCGGATTTTACTATTGAAGAAATAGACCATAATATTTTAGTCAGTGGGCATTCTTATTTGCCATGCGACCAAGATTTTGGTCTCATAGAAAAAAATAAAAAATTCTTCAAAGAAATTTACGTACCGGAAAACTGGCTTGAAGTAATTAAAACTGCACGAAAAAGGCAACCGTTCAAGATAATAAGAATGACAGCAACTGATTTTCTATCAAGTAAATCCCTAGAAAAAAATATAACCAACAGAAAAAATTCAGTGAGCAACACCAAGGTGGAGTGGCTAAAATTCCATAAAGTCCACCCTTTTTCAATTTTTTACAAGTATTCCAACAATGAGGAAGCACTCTTTGATGAAGTCAGTGTAAAAAAAAGGCAGTCGGTGGCCTTAACACAACTAGATACATTGGAAAAACCAATTATTGCTGAAAAAAAGAAAAAAGACCTTCTTGAACTTTTGCAGTTCATCCCAGCAGTTTTATCACACTTTTTATAAAACACTAAAAAGTTCCAACAGTGTCCAGGATGAAGCTTATTATGATGAAACAGATGAAGATTAACCCATTATTATTGTTTTCTTTAATAAACTTGCTCTGAAATGGTGTAACGCTATTATTTTGATTTTGACCCAAATAACATAAATGCAGAAGTGGAGTAACCCAAATATTTTTCTTTATTACTAGTTTAAATTTTATAAAAGGAAACAACTATTGTCGTTTTGGAAGTTCTTTTTATAAATAAAAAATAAAACATTAAAAAACATTTAAAAAATGTTTTTGTAAATTTTAAATCCTTCCATTTCTCCTATATGCACTGTCAAGGGTTACACCGCTTTTGGGCTGATAGGCTCAATTGTATTATGTAATTACTAAGTATTAACTGAATATTAAATAATAAACCAAAATTAATTAACAATTTTTTTGGTAATTTAATAATTATTGATACTTTATAAAACAAAAGAATATTGAATATTTATGTTTTTATACTCCAGTCTGAAATTAGAAGTAGAAAAATGCTTATATGCAGTGTAGAAATGACGTTTTTTCTTGTGGTTATTACCAACGGGTGTAAGTATAGACATCGGCAGCGTGCAAGCGAGAGGTGAAAAGATGAGACACCATTTATAATCCCATTCTTTAACTGGACGAGTAGTACTACACTTTGTCGACTAGTTTTTACGTTTAAGAGCGTTGTTATGCTGCAACTATGTTATGGTTGTAGTACGAATATGTCGGCTCGATCGGGAATGGGTCGGTAAAATAGCAGCTCAATGCTGCTGTTTTTTGTATGGTGAGTGTAGAGAACCAGAGACCCTTTTACTGGAAATGGGGTATTCCTTCTAAATCCTCAACTGTGTGCGTGCGTGATGTAGATGTCTATGGGCCACAGCATCCACTTACCATGACGTGGACTGTGTGTTCGTTTGTCAACCTTATTCTACATAAAAAATGAAGGAAAGGGAAGATACCGAGGTCGTCAGGTATGAGCGTGACGGGCTCGGGCGCGGGCGGCAAGGCCTGCGGCGCGCGCGGCGGCGGCGTGTGCGCGGACCAGCTGCCGTCCGCGTGCAGCTGGATCTCGTTGCAGTCGCTCGACAGACGCGGAGACGTCAGCACCTCCAGGAAATACCTGCGCACAAACTTTTCTATATAGGTATACCTCAACTCCCGAAATTCAGAACAAAAACTGTGTCACAGCTGCGGATCCCACGGGCACCGGTTGGACGGGTAACTGCCACGGTAAATATGCCACGCATTTTTGTATTTTCATTTACGATAGTTACTGTTTTTAGGCAAAATATTATATACATATACTATACATAAATGATGACATGCGACTATATTAAACGCTAGAAGGACCTCATGGCTTATGATAATTAAAATGATATATTATCTGGGTTAAGGTAAGGGTACACACATGGATTTTAAATCTATATGGATTGACAACCATCAAGTGTGGTGATAAAGACAAACTCTTCCTGAAATAGGAAAGGTCTGTAACTTCACTGTAGTGGTCTAATTAATATACAGTTACTTTGCAATATACGCCTTAAATCTGCAGAGACATTTCAGAATAAGTAATACATATATGGTGAAGAAAAATTCATTAAAAAATCTCAAAAATTCTGCCATTTTTATCTTTTAAATCCAGAGTGCGTGATATCTGATTGTCATTCATAAAATCTAACGCCTACTTTTTGACTACGTGCGCATACATTATTTTATATTTTCGTATTCTCATGTTATTATAGCACCTGCTTAAGTTTCTCTGCTTAGCTCGAGGTTGACGGTAGAGAATGCAATGCCAAAATGAAATAGGCATTAAGAGCGTATATTTAAATATGGGCAAGTCAAAATCTACGCTGATCGCCCTGGAACGGCGTAATATTGACGCACACAAGAAGTCCCGCGCAAATCGGGTCACTAGGCAAGACGAGTGTATGTATACTATCGGTGTGAATTAAACGAACTCGACCGGTGACGGGAAAAGAAAAAAAAAGAGATGATAGGTGCCTGAGTAACGTTTGTTTACATGTGTAAGTGAAAAGCACCAACTGTACTCTTTTTTCTTATTATTTTAATGAACCCATCCTTTTTACGTCATACGGCAATGCAGGTAACGTAAGGCGCCTAATTCACGGTTCATTTTGATGTAAGTCCCGCCAAGTATTTATTAGGGTAGACGTACGTCAAGATGGACCGCGAATAAGTCACTTTAGATGAACGAAATATGTGTGAATGTGTGACGTCATATGTTTGGAACACTTTTCGGTGATTTTGTGAGCTGCTAACACATCTAGTATAAATTATATGCCTAATTTTTTCAACCATCAATATGTATATTATATTAAAAACACTGAAAAACTGTCAAGTGAAAATCATACAGATTAGACATTACCAACTAGAGATGAAATTAAATATATTTATTTATTTGACGTAAGAAGTTATAATTTCGTTTTTCGAATGTGTAGTATATAAACTTACCCATCAACCACCAATGAATCATAGGGTGCAGGCCTATCACAGACTGGGCATAGCCAGGTTGGTTTGCGCTCATTCATCTGCAGGAACAGGGAAGCATCAAAACACTGCAAATGTGGACAGTTTGCGGGCCGACAAGGACACGACATTCGCATTTTGCCGAGGGGACACATGAGAGACACTCGGAGGGAAGTTGTTGCTATTTCACTATCATAATCTTCTGATAATTTTTCTTTTACTGAAACAAAATAGCAAAATTTATACCAGCTAATCATTTTGACTACTTACAGAAGACATAATATATTTGAAGAAGATTGTTTTTATAAAAGTTTATAAACAAACAGGGTTATAGTCTTAGCTCTTAGCTTATGTGAGTACAATTATTTCAACTTAGTCAAACCATTACATTACTACCCGTGCGGTCACAGAATTTGATTGAAAATGGCGTCGTCTCTATTCACCTCTCACTCGCACACTGTTGCTATCTATACTCACACCCGTCGGTAGACTACAAAACAATTAGGTTGCGATATGCGTTGTTCGTACATTCTATAACTTCAGTCTGACTTAGCATTGGAGTCAATGATATAACATGCCATAAACTACAAAAAAAATTTCATTCCGCTTTCGCTAATTTGTGAGCTACGACATGTTCTGAAAGTTTTCTTCATAGTTGTTGTTTATTTCGTTTGTTAATATTTGTGTAAAATTTACATGCTATTGAAACATGAGTGTCTGACTGAACTGATTTTAACTTTACAAACAAATAGTCAAACAAACAAAACGAAAATTTTTGATTTTATTAAAATAGAAATATAATAAGATAGAATTAATGGTTTTTAACGATTATCATAAGCATAAACATTAATAGATCGTACCCATGCGAAGTCAGAGCGGTTTGCTAGTTGTAAATGTTATTTTAAAATTAATGTACGTATTTTTGCGTACACGATTCTTTTGAAAATACTTTCTTTAAGTCTTTCAAAATGTCGGGTAAGGTTAGTGAAATAGTCTCACTTTGATAAAAAAGACAAATGCTGTTTGTAAATATTGTCAACAAACATTGCCCTATAAATCGAAAACTGGGAACTTAAGTTCTAACTCAAGAAACTTTTCTTGCTAATCCTTATCTTAGTTAAGCATGTAGAATAAATCGCCAACTTAAATAATAATTAATAAATAAACAACTTTTAATAATCTAAGTAATTCGGAAAATAAATGTTTTGCACCGGTTTTACAGTTTACGGTTATGTTTCGTTGTCATTTGCACATTCAGTAGTTGAAACCAATTACCACTAATATCGATATCTAAAAACGGTTTTCAATAACGATATGAAAAGTCAATATTGGTTATGTAACCATTGCATCTAAAAACTAAAAACGTACTAATGTACGGGCTCAATGAGCCTCTATTTCTAAAACCCATTCTTCCGTATGGGCTATAGAATTATGCCTCTTGCATTTGGATCAGTAATTGGATCTCCAATTTTCATTGTTCACAAAACAAGAGGCATGTATTAAAAAGAGGCATTTCATACCGAATGCCTATCTGCAAGAGCAGCACACACTTGGTTTCATTAGTCACAATATTCCTTCACATACGTAAAATACGTGCTTAGACGTGAAGTTGCGTAAAATAGCCCGTCGTGAACTAAACAAAAATGCTTAGAAGGCTATCCAAAATGTAGCAAATAATGTTGATGTTTCAGGTGTTTTCTTTTTGAATCAACCAATATACAGTTAACAGAATAGTATTTAGTTATAATTCAATGTATCAAAATCACATTTTGAACCCGACATTCAGTGAACGTCATGTGAACATTGTGCTCCCGTAATTTAATTGCTTAAAAATAGTTATTCAACTGTATCATGTTAGATTTACCAAGAAAGTGGAGAAAACTGTTCAATACGTTTGTGAGAGTGTTATCAAGACATATAATACGCAAATTAGACTGCATTATTGTGAATCTTACGGTGAGCTACCCACAGCAATAAAACCGATATGTGCTATTTTATCCCAAAATAATACGAAATACATCATATATATCCATTGATAAACTGTGACGCAAATAAAAATAGAAATATAAAACAATAAATACTTTAGAAACTTAAAAACTTTGTATTTGTGATTTAAAGTGACTGTTGAAGAAAAATTTTCAAACATATGCAAAACGCTCATAACGAACGAATCCGTCGTTTCGTATTTGTTTGTAATAGAACTACTATTTTGGTAAACATAGTAAGTAGTAGCGTTGGCGTGTTGGCTACGCAGTCGAGATGGTCATTTGAGGTCGCAGGATCGTATCTAACCTGCACAATTTGACTTTTTGTGAGTGTTTTGCGTTTTAATTTGTTTTCAAGCTTAATATGTTGACTGGTCAGAGAAGTGTATAGTTTAGTCACGCTCCTAAGTTATCGTTGAAAAAGTACTGTAATATTGTTTGTAAGCATTAAAATCATACATCAAAACAATCTTTGAACTGTGAACTATATGCATGATGAATAAACGGTTCTTGTTCAAGCGAATATACACTCACCGGCACGGAAACTTGGCCAAGCGGTTATCTCGTGATAGCAAAAGCTTTAAGTGTTTCTGATGAATGTTTGTTATGCAAGTATGTCAAAAAATGTTTACCCTCAAATTCAAGAGGGTAATTCATTATGTTTAAGTGCACCATGACGAATTCTTTAATTTTTAGTTGAATCGGGTCATTTGAGCGACTAACTTCACATTTTAAATTTGTGTGTTGTGAAAAGTTTACTGTAAGGTTATTCAATTATTGTGATCTTGTGTCTTAATTAAATAACTAAAGGTGCTTTAAAGCCAATAAAAATGCCATTAACACCAGCACAAGTTGCACAAGCAGTAGCATTAATTGACCAAGGGCTGACACAGCGTGAAGTTGCTATTGTGCTTAACGTACCACGGTCCTCAATGCAGTATTCACTGAAACGATACCAGGAGACAGGCCGCTACACCCGCAGGCCGGGCAGTGGGGGCGTAAGGTGCACATCGGCCCGGGACGATCGTTTTATTGTTATGGAGATTTTGAGAAACCGCTACCTGACCGCTGTTGAGATACGCCAGCGGCTCCAAATCGCAAGAGGCGTTAATGTTAGTGAGCGTACGGTGAGAAGACGAATGGAGGAAGTGAATTTAAAAGCTCGTAGACCAGCACGAGGTCCAGAACTTCTCAGACAGCACCGAGTAGCCCGACTTCAGTTCGCAAGAGAACATGTCAATTGGACCCACGAGCAATGGGCTAGAGTGTTGTTCACAGATGAGTGTCGAATAGCTTTACGTGCTCCAGACGGTCGAGAACGAGTGTGGAGAAAAAGAGGAGAGAGGTTTCTACCCATTACCACCACCCAACTTGTGAGTTTCCATGGAGGCTCAATAATGGTATGGGGAGGTGTAAGTTCCGACGCACGTACAGAGTTGGTCATCGTCGATAATCGGCTTACAGCTACTCGATACATCGCGGAAGTTCTTCAGGAGCACGTAATGCCTTATTCGGGATTCATTGGACACGACCAATTCCTCCTCATGCACGATAATGCACGCCCGCACGTCGCACATTGTGTAGAGGAATATCTGGAAGAGGTTGGAATACAAAAATTACAGTGGCCAGCTCGTAGCCCGGACTTAAATCCAATTGAGCATGTATGTGGTATGCTTAAAAGAAAGATAAAGTCCAGCTCCAAACCGCCACAAACTCTAAATGAGCTCCGAAATGCAGCGCTGGCCGCTTGGGACAGCATACCGCAAGTTGATGTCAGAAACATCATTCAAAGCATGCCAGATCGAATGCAAGCGGTTATCAGGGCTAGAGGAGGAAACACCCGATATTAAAACTGATAGACAATAAAGAAACAGACTTAATTTTTAACTTTGTAGTGTTTTTAAAGTGACAATGGAAAGATGTTAATTTTAGTGAAAACATGTTATCTTGAAAAGAAAAATTTCGGTGAAGTAAACATTAAATTTCTATGTTCTAAAACCATTAGAGACACTTATTGAATGCATCTACCCTTAATTTACTGTTAAAAAAACGTTTCAGTGCAAATAATCAGCAAATTCACGAGTGGCCAAGTTTCCGTGCCGGTGAGTTTATAATTGAAACGAACTTTTATCACTATGAATTGTGAAGCGTGTCGTAATCGAATTACTGGCGAGGAACTACTCCGATGTATAAAGTGTATGACACATTATCATTATATATGCCTGAACATAACTCAATCTTATTACAAGGCTAACCTGGGCGAACTGAGAAGGTCCTGGATATGTCCACTTTGCATCAACGTAACTAGGCGAAAGGGAAACAACTGCAATACGCCTGTTCGGAAACAACTAGAAAACATGGATGAATCTAGCATGTCCTGCGAAGACCTTACGATTAGTGAAAACACTGTTGAAATTAGTCGACCAGTCATGGACACAGTTGAAAATACACCCACGTCATCCGGATGTACTCCCGCTGCGAGTATCACATTGGACCAATTCTCGAGACTTCTAGATCTTAAGTTGGATACTAAGCTGGAAAGCTTTCAAGCATCTTTAACCAGAACAATAAGGAATGAAGTTAGTGATCAAATAGCCAAACTAAAAACCGAGTTCACCGTAACGACAGATTTTCTTGCGGAGGAGCAAAGGGACGTAAAAGCTGAACTTAAGACGTTGTCAGACAAGGTCCGCAAGCTTGAAGATGAAAATGTGCAACTACAATCCGAATTATCCCAAATGAATAAAACTCTGCAGGTCTTAGACAAATCCTCAAGAAACTGCAACATTGAAATCCAGTCGGTACCCGAAAAACGATCGGAAAATTTATTGTATGGGCTGATGAAATTGTGTGAGGTCATAAATTGCCCTATTGCTGAGTCAGACATAAAATCTATCCGCCGTGTTGCAAAGATGAACCCTTCGTCAGACCGTCCCCGCAATATTATTGCGACGCTGCACTCGGAACATCACCGCGACACTATCATCTCTGCAGTGCGAAGATTCAATAAAGCAAACAAGTTGTGTCCGCTAAACTCATCTCACATGGGCTTGGCTGGCGAAAAATACAATATCTACATATCGGAACACCTATCAGCTGGATGCAAGGCAATACACGCCGCGGCAAGACAATGGACTAAAATTAACCACTACAAATTTGTCTGGGTAAAATACGGTCGTGTCTATGTTCGTAAAAATGAAGAATCCCCTACTATACTTATAAGAGACACTAGTTATTTATCAAAGCTGCCGCCTAATAACCCTGTATAGAGTAGTCTAATTTATTTATTTCTTTCATTTTATTTTTTCTTTTTGTAATCTGATTAAACTCAAGCATTTATTTGGTATCTTTTTACATATTTTTAAGAATGTACATATATTATCAAAATCTCAATAGAGCTAGAAGTAAAATAGATAGTCTTTATAAAAATTTTCTGAACTCTAATTACAATTTGATATGTCTAACTGAAACAATTCGATGCTTCTGTATATGATGGGGAACTGTTTGACGAGCAATACAATGTCTTCCGTAGAGATCGCGATACCACTTGTATTAAAAAGTATAATAAAGACGATGGAGGCGGTGTCCTCGTAGCAGTTAAAAAACAATATTCTGCTGTCAGACAGGTCTCCTGGGAAAGCGAACTAGAGAATGTCTGGATTAGCATATTGCCACCTAATATTAATGGTCAGACAATTAATGTATGCGTTTGCTATCTACCTCCATATCTTAATAAAAATGACCTGTCAAACTTCTATTCAAATCTTCAAAACATTATCCTAAAATCAAATGAGCAGAATTGTTTTGCATTATTTGGCGACTTTAATGTACCCAATGCCTCATGGATCCTGTCAAACGATGGCAGTATGACAGCTAGCTGCAATGAGATGGACTATAAGAGCGAACTGTTAGATACTGTGGCATTCTGTGATCTGTCACAGTTCAACCCCATCCCCAATAATAACAATAAGATACTAGATCTTGCTCTTAGCACTTCTGGAAATATGACCATCACCAACGAGAAGACCTTATTAAAACAGGATAAACATCACCCTGCCTTACGGATCGATTTTCAAGACTCAAATTCCCTTAATTATAAACCTCTAAAGGTCAATGAGTCAAAGCGGCTAAATTTCTATAAATGCCAATACAAAACTGTAAAGCAGAGAATCAATAATACCAACTGGTCAGATCTAATTCATGGGGCAGATGTAGATGAGGCCGTGGCTAGATTTTACGATGTGATCTACGAAATTATTAATGATTGTACTCCAACAGTTAAAAACCGCTCAAATAAATATGCGGGAAAAAAACAAATACCACGCGCGCTACAAAAAATACAAAAATCCACGAGATTACGATACATTCTCTCTCCTTCGAGCTAGATGTAAAAAACTCATAAACTGTTGTTACAATAAATACATCAGATCTATCGAAAATGGTTTGAAAAAAGACGTTAAGTCGTTTTGGAGTTACATTAACAGCAAAAGACGCAACAACTCGAGTATTCCCGACTCAATGACATTTGGTGAAACAACGGCTGCTGGTGGTAAGGAAATCTGCGATCTGTTTTCAGAATTTTTTGGATCAGTATTCGAAGATCATAGTCGTGGATCGGGTGTATCCGTCTGTTGTAGTCAAACAAATAGTCTTCTTACTAAAATCGTACTCACTGAGAACGAAATATTAACAAAACTGAGGTATCTTGACTCCAACAAGGGAGCCGGCCCTGATGGCATACCACCTATATTCTTGCGGGTATGCGCAGATGAACTGTGTCACCCGCTTCTGCTAATATTTAATAAATCACTGAATAGCGGTGTTTTCCCTTCTCGCTGGAAAAAAGCTAACGTTGTCCCCATATTTAAATCTGGTGACCGAGACAACTGTGAAAATTATAGACCGATAAGCATTTTGTCAGCAGTATCCAAATTATTCGAATCAGTAGTATTTGATCACCTCTATTTTAATTTAAAACCTCTTATATCAAATAAGCAGCATGGATTCATCAAAAGGAGATCGACAGTCAGTAACCTTCTTAACCTCAAAACCTACATATGCGATGCTTTTAACAACCTTGGTCAGGTAGATGCCATATATACCGATTTCAAAAAAGCATTCGATAAAGTGGATCACGCAATTTTATGTAAGAAACTCGAGTCACATGGTATACATGGCAGTCTGTTGCGTTGGCTCAAGTCCTACTTGAGGAACAGGAGTCAGCTCGTGACCGTCAAGTGGTACACATCAGAAGAAATCCTAATTAATTACTGTGTTCCACAATGATCCCATTTGGGCCTCTTACTTTTTGTGACCTTCATTAATGACCTCATTGAGAAAATTCAGTCCCCTTGCCTGTTATACGCTGACGACCTAAAAATTTTCAATAGAATTGGTGGAGCTGACGACACTCGCATCATACAGGAAGACTTAAACAGCTTGTCTAATTGGTGCAGAGAAAAATAACATGTTCCTTAATGTCAAAAAATGCTTTGTCATCACCTACACACTTAAAAAAAACAAGGTATTAAACAATTACATCTTAGAACAACAATCTCTATCTCGTGTGTCGTCTATTAAGGATCTCGGGGTCGTGTTTGACGAACAGCTTAGTTTTCGCCAACATTACGATCTCATAGCCAAAAAATCTAACCAGGTACTAGGTTTCGTTACTAGACAGAGCAGGCACTTCAGGAACCCTCAAAGTGTAATTTTGTTGTATAACAGTCTGGTTCGAAGTAATTTAGAATATAGCTCAATTATATGGAATCCATACTATGCAGTGCACTCTGAGCGCATTGAATCGATCCAATCCAAATTTTTGCGTTTATTAAGCTTACGTACTGGCAACAATAGAAGACTCCGGTCATATGCTGAGAGGCTTAAAGAGTTAAACATGATACCACTTCACCTCCGTCGCGACGAATTGGACCTAGTCAACCTACACAGAATAATACACTCAGAACTGGATAGCCCCGAGGCCTTGGAACTGTTAAATTTTAACATAAGACACAACCCACGTAGAACTATGAAAAAAATATTTGACATACCCCTATCGCGAAATAATATCTCTCGAAATCAACCCCTATCAAGGTTATGTCGACTTTATGAGGATTATAGCCTTCGCTTTACCAACCTTGACATCTTCAACTCTAGCCTGGTTCACTTTAGAAATGTTTTGAAAGACATTCTCAAGGACATCCCCGTCGATTGATATTCATTATATTTATAGTTCTTGATTTGTTGGAATTGTGAGTAGTTTAAGCAATTTTATTTAAAATGTTTGTTACTCAATCTTGGCATGCCGTGATAACACGTATAAGGATTATGTCTTGTATTACACCATTATTTTTGTAAGTTATAGCTTTAAGTCGTGATGTAATCTGTTGTGTTGTCCTATAATAAATAAATAAAAAAAATAAAATAATTCAATGTATCAAAATCACAATACGTCTGCTCATTTTACTTACTTAGTGATCGTGTGTAATCTGGATTTTTAGTACCCTTGTTCTTGAGCCGCTGTAATAACTCAGCAGAGGTTAGCTTCTTCACAAGAAACACACTAAGCACGTACGCTCGCGTGAAGTCTGCGGCCCACGTTACGTGTATAGTGTTGGCGACGGTAGGCGACAGTTTCACAAGGGATGAGATGTTGACCGGTCTCGGTGGTCGTTTTGGTTCTGGCGTCGGCTTGTTTGTCGGTATTGGGTTCTGTGAAAATTGTACGATTATTAGTATCAGTACTTATTTTATCTGCAATAATTTCGAATTGGTTATACATACAACTATGTATATAGTTTTCAGTCAGACATCCATTACAGCCCATCAAACTTCCAATGCTTAACATAGGCCTCTCCCGTAGATTGCCTCATAGGGAAGATATTTGCCATAGTTGCCATGCATGGCAAGAGGGTTGGCAACCGCAGTTTTTTATTTTAATTCAGACGTTATCAGAAAGATGTTTGTGCCCATCTCCTGGTTCAGCTTCCCTCTGTAGCCTCATACGACACCCATGTGATGATATTGAGTGGTAGTAGCCACTACACGGTGGGCAATGAGAATGACAATAGATTAAAATTGCATTTTTCAGGTATAAATTTTTAGTATTTCAGTAAATAATAATACTAGCCATTGTATCAAGTCACAAAAGTCGGTTAAAGCAATTTTGATATCACATGAGATCTGACAAGAAAGAAGTTAAGAATAGTAGTTCCTACTTCCTATATTAACTTATACTAGCATATCTTATATAGCATTTATAGTGATGATGATGTGTAGTAGCATACTTACTGGTAATGGACACATTTTATTGTTTACTTTTACATTAACACTAGGTGGGAAATAATCTTCCTGTTCACATGAAGTTTCTAGGAGGCAGAACCTCAACTGGGCCTACAACAAAAGTTTAATAACATTATTCATTGCTCAGTTAAAATTATTGTGTTTGAGAAACAAAGCAAACCCCGATTAAATAGACATTTAAAAATTCTGAAACACTGTAGTAATAAAGAACAAAATGTGAAAAACTAGTAGTAAAGGATATGTAATTCAATGTTGTAAAAAAATGCAATTACTTGCCTGTATAACATAATCAAGCTTATTACTAGTTCCGACAATATCCTTGCCCGAAGCTATCTCGGTGGCCTGTTGTGGTGTAAGGTGGAATATGAATGTGCCCTCTTGCATTCGACCAGCTTGCATTGGCATCATAGTAGACGGTTTCATTAATTCTGCCATTACATCGTAGAACGGAAGTCTGGAATTATAGATTTTTAAGAACATGAAGTATTACAGTGTGTTTTTAAGTGGCAGTAACCTTATCAAATGCTTTTGGTATTTAAAAAAAAACTAAAGTATTAGTAATAAATATTAAAAAAATAATCAAAATAAGACATAATTCTTAAGCTTTGATCATTGGCCCTACATTTGCCATTTTGTGATGTCAAGTGATCTACAATAATATATTATTTAATTATTATGTTACCGAAGTCATTTATCTAATCTATTAATAAAGGTATGACTATAATATGGTAGTTTTGTAAAGAGCCTTCTTGGTTTGTATTACCTTCTTATTTATTTCTGTCGTCAATCATCAGTACACATATTACTGTGTTCAATTATAAAATATAGGAGTGTATCATTTCAGGTAATAAAGCATTCCATCTTAGTCCTCAGGTTGAAAAATGGACCTGACTTCTTTAATTGAAAGTGTTCATAGGCTGTAATGGCCACTTCCCATCAAGTGGCTGTCCCAGCTGTCCCAACAAGTGGGTGTTACCTTATTTATTTAAAATTAATAATACTTAAAAACATATAAATTTTATCCCCCTATGAGGCAGTATAAGGGGAGGCATATTCAGCAGTGGACCTTTGATGGGCTGTAATGATGAGTACACCAAGTTGTGTGACGGTAGCTTGATTTTAAATAAATGTTACAGACCATAATTAGCAATAACCATGTGTAAAACTCTTAGTAAATAATTAATGCTAGTAATGCAATGCCAAGTATGATGATTACTTCAGGGAAAACAATTTGTCTTTGTGGCAATATAAAATCATGTTGTACATTGTGACAACGTTTTTAAGCTATTGACATATATACATATTGGCTAAACTTTCCAACAATTGATATTAGATGCACAAGGATTAGTTACAAAATGTAAAACACAAATATATTGGTTGTGACCGAAGATTCGATTTGCCTGACAAATGTAATAATAATAATATTGTCTTCCAGACCGAATTTCGGTCACAGTGGCCTGCCTCAACGGAGGCTAGCCATCGGCGCAGGACAGGATTATAGTGCCCAAGCGTATGCACAAGCACAGGTGCACTCTCTATTCCCCCACTCTCGTAATCCCATGGGACGGTAAACCGACACGACCGGGAGAGAGATCAGGCGCAGGACCAACGGCTTTACGTGCTTTCCGAGGCACGGGGGTGGCACCGCCAACTTCCTGACTCCGGGTAGTTACTGAGAATTTCTTGACAGAAAAACTCAATAATTGATTTTTTGGCCCGACCCGGAATTCGAACCCAGGACCTCATGATCAGCAGTCGCACTTCTACAACCACAAGACCAACGAGGCCGACAAATGTCATAATAATATGACAGTGTAAATGCAGTGTAAGAATATCTACTACTGCATATCATCTCGTGGGTGTCTAAGAGGCGACAGAGGGAAAAAAAATCAGATGTCTCCCTAATAACGACTAAAAATAAAAAATTGCGGTTGCTTGCCAAACGTGGCAACTATGGCAAATATCCTCCCTATGAGGCAAACTATGGGAGAGGCCTGTGTTCAGCAGTGGACTTTAATACGCTGTAACAGTAATATTTAATAATTTCAATAAATGTGGTGAAGTTTCAAATGTGAAATTGACATTTCAAACAATGCATAAGAAAATCAATAACTACATTTTGTCCCATAAGTGTGTCCATGTAAAGGAAATACTCTTGTAGCTTGCAATGGAATAGATAGAATATTAGACCTTGCTGTTTATCAGATACAAACAAAATGAAAAATAAAAAATAGAGAAAAAAAGAAATAAATAAGATAATAGTTTCATTAAAAATAGAGGTGTATATTCTATAAATACTAGGAACAAGCACAACTTACTCGACTCAAAAGAGTTAGTATTTCCTTCATGGGGCAATATATACACTTTTATAAGTCCCAGAAAATATTTATTAAGCAAAAATTGTTTAATAAGGTTTATTATACTAAAGGATACATGATTAATAATAACCTCAGAGAATGAGGTGATTGCTACCTTGCTGTAAAAACCTAAATACTATATTTTTTATAACAATTGTATAAATATTTTATTGTAAGTTATGCTTTTCAAAAAAGTTCCGCTGGGTTTCTTGCTGGTTCTTCCGACAGGGGTTTTTTCCGAACCAGTGGTAAAAGTAAAAAATGACTTACAGTAAGAATTACATGTAATCAATATTGAATAAAAATTATTCTATTCTAGTCTGTAATGTCCAGACTGAAAACGGAAAGTAGCTTTTAAGGTTTGAAAATTTATAAACTGATGAAGAAAAAATCCTTTCACTTGTGATTACATGGACAGATAAATATTGGCTCAATTTTTTTCTTAACAACACTTTTTCATGAAATAAAATAAAATATTGACTTCAGCTTGGATTAGTCAAAATCAATGACTGACCAATTGGAGTCAAAGTGAAATATTTTATTCAATTTTGGCTTTTACTAAGCACTTTTTGAAAGTCAAATGCTACACCATTGTTTCAACAAGTCCCTACTGCAGGGAGACCTTGTGATTTCTAAAATAAGTGGCAAAAACTTACAAATATACTATTCTTCCAATATATCCTTATAATATGTGTATACATATACAAAAAAGTATATGGAAGCTCATTATGTCTATGGATTCTTATCTTTTAAACACCACGAAACTGTGTAGTGACAGTGTAAGAAAGAAAAAAAGGAAAGAAATAAGTTTATTCACTATTCCATAAAAAGTAAGAACATTCACTACCCCATAATACCATCCTGTGGGTGTTGTGGCAAGAGATGGGAACAATCCATGAGATGGGCAGCAGCACCTTTTTTAAAAACTAAAAATTAAAAAAAAAATGCTGCAGTTGCCAACCCTGATGCTATGTCAAGTTTGACAACAATGGAAAAATCTCCCCATGAGGCAAACTCAGGGGGAGCCCTATTTTCAGCAGTGGACTTTTATATAATATAGGCTGTAATGGATTGATAATAACGAATATTTAATTTATAATAATATCCTTTCTTCATAAGAGTGCATTTTACATGCGCTTTGAATTTATGCAGTGCAAAAGAAATGTTTGCAAAATTATGTTTGAATGTGTTGTAAAATAAAGTGAACTAACTTTTTGAACTTGACGTCCGGATGCACGGGGAAGGGAGGCAGGGGCGCCGTGGGCGAGAGCGAGGGCATGGGCGCGAGCGTGGCGCCGGCCGCCGCGCCCGCGTACCCGTGGTACATGCCGCCCGCGTACAGCGGGCTCTGCCGCGCCTGCGCAGTGCGCGCCTGCTTATATACACCTTCATGGTAAGAACACGCACACCGCGACTCAATGCTCAATAACCAAACCCGTCCCATGCACCGCATTTGACAATTTTCAAATATAATATTCATCAATAAACAAAACTGTTGTGAAAAAAATTATAAAATAATATGATACCAGCAAGTAGTGTAAGGTGATGAATGCAGGTTGCTCAAAACCATATCTTGTAACATTTCTTGGTGGAGGCCTATGTTCAGGAGTGAACTTGTGAAGATGTTAATGATTGTGTTGATGACAATGAATATGTTTAATAGTAATAATGCGTAAGATAGCTAATATCAGATTACCGTGACAGTACATTTCGTTTTGTAGATATTGAAATTCATATTTACATAAAAAAATGTTTCCCTAGTGTCGTAATAATAAAAAGTGTTCCCATAAGGTGCAATGCTTATGGACTAATCCACTTATGCTAGACTATTAGTATATTAAAAATTAAGCAACAGTAGCCCATAGTAAAGTTTAAGGATATATACCACAACCTTGAAAGTTGTGGGTTGAATTGGCCGATCATTACTATCTTTTTAATGTCATGAACCACTCATGTCACAGGCATTTTAGGCTTATTTGTGGTAAACAGGAATATAAATAATGTTCATAGCTTTATTAATATTTTTAAATAATAAAAATAGCACCACAAACCTTTAAAGTTATGATGGAATTACAAATCTTTTTTGTTGTATCATATTTTTTAAATGATAAAACTTCTTGACTTTTTATAAACATTAAAATATTTGTACATTTTCACTTTCGCCAGAAAATACCAAACATATTCAATTATATTTAGTAAGAAAACAGATGTAGTTAGTCCTTCCCCATCACCATTATCCATAGTCTTTTTATTTACCGTAACTGGTAAAGCCTGTGCTCGCGAGTCCTGTGGGTTATATCCAGTAACAGCCGGGTGTTGATACATTGAACGGGGGCCTGGCAAAGCGGGCGCCAAAGGGTCCTTGCCTTGCGACCCACTTCCGGGGCCCACACCGCTTGAGGGCATCGCCTGGCTGTTCCTGCCAACCAACCTTATCTATTTGACACTATTCAAACTAGATTACAAAACATGTGACAGTAACTAGTCATAAAAACATGCACATAAAATTACTGTCTAATATAATTGATAGAATCTGGCGTTACTTTGCGGAAATCCATTATAATAAAAATATAAATTACTTCGCAACCTTCCGCTAGCTAAATATATTTACTGGTTACTGGTTATTATAAAAGTATTTAGCTAGCGGAAGGTTGCGAAGTAATTTATATTTTTATTATTGTCTAATAATTTTATATATTCATATATCACATGATTCAATAAGTACAAGATTGCCAAAATTATTTAAGATTTAATTTATTCAAACCCAACACCAGAAGCCCGTTTAGTATCATGCAATCCTATATGAAACAATGACAGCTTTCCATCCACATTCATACTCCAACATTAAACAAATTTTCTGTAAATTTATCGTAAAAATGCAGCATTTTGGCTGGGGGTCATGCTGCCAGATAAAAGTGAGAAAACGCGAGAGGCTTGACACTTGCCTAGAACTGTGGCTCTTTTGTGAGCGATGTCCATTTTCAGTGGTTCTGAGGCGCGTCCTAAGTTCGGAAGGGGTTCCATTCTCAGCGGGCGCACTCTGGGCCGCGTTAACTACCCGCGCTGAAGATCGTGTTTTAACCATTGTTGACGAGCAACAGTCTCATCTCAACTGAAATTAAGGAGTCCGAAAACGGACAGAAATAGCTATCATAAACAGTATTACGACCTGAACAGGCTTTCTGGAAAATTTCTTTGACATTGCAAATGGAACTTAAAAAATGAAACTGCCATGGGAGCATCCTTATATCTCTTATCACAACTGGAAAAAGGCAAACATGGGGAAAGGTGCGAGAGAACATCTGCAATTGAATAATTATCTCTTTTAGTCTACAATGGTTAAAACATGTCTTGCAGCTTTAATAATCAACAAACCACTAAATCCACGAGCATTTATTTGAATCAATGTTGGCGGTCCTTTTTGTATTTAAATAAATTATTCCACTGCAGCTGTGAATGAGCATTGCTAAGGAGAAAAATTTGGATTAACAGTTTTGAATAACTGACAAAGCAAGAAAGCACCTGGGGTGACATGAATTGGAATTCTAATTATTGTAATAGTAAGAGAAGGAAGTTGATACTATCCTGTCAAGGAAATTTTCCAGAAAATATTTGAAGATAAACAAGTTCTTTCAACTATAACTCTAAAGAGTTAGTAATATTTAACTTTTAAAACATTGAGAATAACTTGTTCTAAAAATAGGGGTTCAGGACCACCACAAAACTAAGGTTTAATTCGTTTTCAAATAATGCATTTGACAAGACTTTCGTAGTTTTGTAAATTTACATTATCTTAAAAAAAATTATTTCATAAACAATATTATGTAACCCAGAAAGCATTATTATGCTTGCAAAAGTAATAATCTATTAATTAGGTAATCTTAGCATATTTTTTAAGTTTCCAATTTTAAATGATTGTGCTGATGTGATTAAGTACTATTTTTACTGATTGTTACAAGTGACTTCAAGCATTTAACTGTCCGAATTGTATAGTAGGTACCTATCTACAATTCATCTTCGTCTTCTTTCGGGAGGTCTAAAATTGTAATTAAAGTTTGTACAACTCAACATTATCATACTACTAAACACAGTTTTTAGATATTCTATTTTGATATCTTTATGTGAAATTTTAATTTGTTTTAGGTTTAGATTGCACCAATAATATTTTCATTTTTATCTTGTTGCATATTTATCATTGTTCTCTTTTATCTTTTTATATATACAGGGTTACTGCTGCTGCTTTTCCTGCTAGGAGGTAAGGGAGGTTATTACCGATGAATTAGACCATAAAGTTAACCATAAAGTCACTGAAAAAGTAAACCAGTTCACTTTTTCAGGGACTTTACAGTCTACATTAGAAAATACCAGAGGGAAATATCATACATTTTAAGCATATTAGAGTTCCAAAAGAATGACAAATAACAAAAAAAAAACACTGAAACTTGGTGTGTAAAATGTTTTAAAAACATCTTAACTTTCTAACAATATATGAACTTGGGGTCGTTTTTATGATTTATCATAAAAAAGCATTTTAGCTAACGAATTTCTGGGAAACGATCCTTTTACTTAACAATCTTTTTACTGTCGACAAACAAGAAATTAGTAATCTTAAACACATGTTCCTCACGCTTATAGTTCAGTTTGCGGCCTCTAATGGTTTACAAAGGATAAATTCTCAGAAGTGTTATATTTGGAGCACAGCTAAAAAAGTTGCTGTATCTTTCAGACGCTGTCATGAAAGTATTTTGCGAATCATTTACTAACTCACCTGTACAGTGATTTCTCATCTTGTGACTTAGTGAATCAGTTTTGTTATTGAGGGTAAGTAAAGGACTTGTGGTAGTACTAACACTGCAACAAAGCTACGAATGTTATCATGTCAGCAGAACGAAATCGAAACTGACGTCATGGCCAGCATTATTCTAACGAAGAATACGTCGATGTTTTGTTACGGCTATTGCTCAGGTGACTCTGCAGCTGCTCGACATGAATACATTCGTCGAATTTCTGATCGCCGTAGACCTGATGCAAACGCCTTTGATGGTGTCTATCGTCGATTCCGAGAAACTCGTAGTGAACAAAGGTGAACAAGCGATTTAGTAGACTACACGTATATGCTGTGGAAGACTATGACGATTTGTGGATGATCCGACAGTGTCAACAAATACTGTTGCATTACAACTTGGCATGTTTCCATGGAAAGTTTGATTTAGAGCGCATAACACGAGACTTTACCCGTATTACATATACTGAAATAGGACTTACTTGAAAAAGGAGATCCTATCAAGGGGTTAATGTTTTATGCCAATTTAGAAAATCCAGTGTTCTTTAAAAATATTTTGTGGACAGACGAATCCAAATTTGATAAAAATGGCATATCAAATTATCATAATCTTCACAATTGAAGTGATAAAGAAAGAAGAAATCCTCATCAAAGGAGGCAAAAAGGATCTCAACGTCGATTTTTATTTAAATAATCAATAATTTGATTGGTCTTCATTTTCTTACCTGATAATAGAAATGGCGAAAGTTATGGATATTTTTTAAGAAATTATTTGGTTAACCTACTTGACGACGTGCCCTTAGAAACCAAATGAAATATGATATATCAACAAGATGGTTGTTCTACACACTTTAAAATAACTATGCGACAATGGCTAGACAATAATTTTCCCAGTCGGTCGATGTAGAGGAGGATCCATCCATTGGCCTGCGAGAAGTCCTGACTTGACGCCGAAGGACTAATATGCTTGGGGTCATATTTGTAATCCAGGCCTTTCTCTCCCCCTTTGCCCAGCAGTGGGACGTGACCGGCGAATTGTAATTTGTAACACTTAACGATACAGTCGAAGTTATTTTTCATTACATAATCCAATGTTTTGATGAAATCATGAAATACATAATTAGACGATTTGATCCTTACTTCTACGATAATACTATGTAATAAATAATGATAAAGAATAATGATAATATTAAATAATAATATGGGTAATTTTATACTAACGCGGTCACCTCGTTTTTTGGCTCAATCATCCGATTTCGTTGATTTTTTTTTAAATCTTCGTCTTTACGGCGGATTTACGTAAAAAAATATAGAAAATATCCCACCTCAAGATTCCATATAGTTTTATGACTTTAAATGTGATCATAAACGCACTTCTTCGAATATAATCGTTCATAAGTCATAACTGTTTTGCAAAGCGTTGAACGAAGTTTGTATTTTTTTTTGTTAATCTACACAAAAAAAAACATTAAAAAAAAGGCATGGAAAAATGTTTGTTTATAATTTTTTTTATCTCACTTTAAGTTTTTGACTTTAAATGTTATCATAAACGCTCCAGAAAATCAAAAAATCATCCAATTTCGATGACTTTTTTAAATCTTCGTTTATATGGAAAAGACCAAAATGAAAAGAATTAACTATTATATTTAAAAATAAATCAATAACTTAAAATATCCTCGAAAAATCTTGTAACAAAATAAAAAAATGTCCAATCTTTGACAGTGATTGCTATACCTTAACCTAAATAACGCACATTAAAAAAAAATGGGAAAAAAATCACATAATGTTTATCTATTAATTTTTTAGCGAAGTGAGCTCGGTACTAAGCCCGGTCGACGTAGCCCCGCTTCGCGGGGGCTCTTACTTCTGAGTGGTTTATAAAAGAATAACCATGAAGGAGATGGCGGGGTCTATTCTTTTATTTTGTAGGATAGGATGACAAATGAGCGAGCACACAGTCCATTTGATGGTAAGTGGTTGCTGTAGCCCATAGACATCTACAGCTATCCTCGATTACGAATCAAAAAGCGAATACGTTGTCATCCGTGAGTAAAAGTAAAGTTACAGCCTATATACGTCCCACAGGTGGGCGGCACAGGCCTGCCCTCATTTCTGAGAGGGTTTTAGGACAAGGAAATGTCCGCCGCGCTGCCCTAATGCGTGTTGGCGGACTTCACATGTCTTCGAAAAATTTTTTTTCTTATTCGTCGGACATGCAGGTTTCCTTACGATGTTTTCCTTCACCGCTAAGCACGTGGTAAATCAGCACTTAAAATTACAATTAACAATTTCATTGGCCCGCGGGGATCGAACCCGGGTTACTCGCGTTCTGTTATATTTACAGCGAGAGTTAAATCATCTGAGCTACCACGGCTCAGAACTCCGTGAGTACTTAGGTGGAATGCCTCGTTTCCAATAAAAAGGGTATCCGGTTCTCTACACTCACCATACGAAATACAGCAGCATTAAGCTACTATTTGACGCTGGTATTTTGTGAGAGCGTGGTCCTTCCCGGTCGAACCAACCCATTCGTGCTACAACTATACTACTAATATAACTGCAGCATTGCTCTACCACGTAAAAAAATTTTTCACTCGCTTCGCTCGCTCATTTGACCCCGCCATCTCCTTCTAACCTAACATGTCCGAGTCGGGATGCCCTAAGTCCCGAACTCGCATCGCTCGATCTTACACTCAATAAAAACCAAAATAAAAAATAATAAAAACATTTTTTAATTTTTAAAAATGTTCGTTTTTTGGGTAGATCAATGAAAAAAAAATATAACAACTTCATTCGATTATTTAAAAAAAGTTATCAACAATTATACGTGAATGAGTGCATTTTCATGAACATTTAAAGCCTTGAAACCAATATAAATTTTCATTTTTTTTAAATCTTGTAATTTTTTTCATAAATCCGCCGTAATAATGAAGATTTAAAAAAAATCATCGAAGTCGGATGATTTTTCTATTTTATAATCAAAAAACGAGGTGACTGCGATAGTATAAAATTAGCATAATATGTAAGCTCTGTAATTTTGTATCCGAATTTTAGTTTAAATATCTCGTTAGAAAGCTAACAATACATAGATGTTTTAAAATATTCTGCATGCCCAATTTTTCAGTGTTTTTTTGTTATTTGTAATTCGTTTGGTAAGCTTTAATTAAAATTTATGATGTTTCAGTCTGGTATTTTCTAATAAAGACAGAGAGTTCTAGTTTTCGTGTTGATAATGAATGCTTGCCATGTCTTTTCGTTGAGAAAAAACTAAACATTTGATTACAGGCAATATTTTTGGTTAA